CTGCTATAGCACAATGATGAACCCTTTCTGCTGTATTTTAAAAGGTAGATAAGATGCAGAAATTAACTTCCCAGTGAGCTTTACCCTTTCATTCAAGGACTTGCTGTAAAATGTATTTTGCAGACAGACTCTTTTGGAAAACTAAACAAAACATTGCTTTTGATTTGTTTTATTCAACAAGAGGCAGGTTTGCTGCACTGAAATGCTTTTGCTTGCTATAAATATCAGTACAGTAAATATTTTTCATAGGAAGAAGCAGGAAGGTTTCTAATTTTTTTTCCTATATAGCAGTATGACTCTTACAGTAAAAATGTCTTCAAAGCTCTTCTTGTGGCTGTCTGCCTTATAAGCACACCAAGACTAAAAAAGGTCTCAACAGACCTTCTGCTCTAATCTTGAATAGAAGCTGCATTAGCTTTAGCAGAGACACTTTTCCCTCACCCTCAAGCTAGCTGAAGGAAGAAATGACCCACTTATTTAATTTGCTGAGAGGCAGAAGCTGTTGCAAGCTTATTAAAACACTTATCTCTCTTGCCGAACAATTAGATTAGAAGTAGATAAGTGTTGCTTGGATCTTCTTCACTTAATAAGCTAAATACCTGCTATGTGAACTGTCACTATGAGACAGAAATTAAATTTAGCTTGTGCTGGCTGTAACACTCTTCACGTGTAACTGAGATACCTGCTGCACGTGTCAGGGTAAGAACTGAGGCTGCAGACACCTCTCCACTTTCTCACCAGCTCTTGACTGCCTCTGGCTCACTGGCTCTATCAGCTCAGATGTAATTCCCCAAAGTTCTAAAGTTGATGAAATCAATTAGCAGAGGATCCCAAGAGCTCAGCCTTGCCTGCTGCACACTTTATCTGGATCACTTGAGTTGTGTCAAAGCACAGAACACTTCAATGCTAACCAAGATGGACTTTGTCCCAGAAAGAGTAACAAAACTAGCAGTCTCTGGGATGGGATGTCCCTTTAAACTTTTCTTGCCACAACCCAGAAAAACTGATGTTCCTATCTTTATTCTGAGTTGCAACTCACAGTTAAGATTTTTTTTTCCTCTGGATTACACAGAACTACCTTGTCCCTCTTATAACTTAACAATCACAAGTTATTTGAAAAAGAAAAATGTTTTATCTACATATGTAAAATCATGGCTGTGTATGTCTCAATGTGTTCTATACAAAGCATGCTCACTACGCAGTAGTTTCTTTCCACTCACTCATCTAGTTACTATTTGCCAAGTCTGACTTAAGCCTGGACTCTTCTACAGGAGCCACCAGCTTCAGATGTAAAAGCTAGTCCCACTTCCACACATGGACAAAGTAACAGGTTTTCAAAGGGATTGCAAAAGTCTAGAAGTATAATAGCTAGATACTAACTTCTTCAGAGTTTCAGCCTCCCTTTGTCCATCTTAGATGTCACCAACCTGACTAAAGCTCCCTCATCCTGAGGTCATGCCCTCCAACACTGCCAGTAAAAACATTTCTTGCCCACACAGTAATCAATTATGTCAGCATTAAGCAGCACATTGAAAAGCAAGTTGCAGAGACCTAGAGAATGATCTGAGACTTTCAGTTACAGGTGGGAATCTTGCCACTCTGACATCTGGCTGTAGAAATCCCCAGGGAGAAGATACCTCTTGTAAGTAGCTTGTTACCTAGGTTGCACACCACTTCTGAAGAACAACCAAATCTCAGAACACCTCAGAGTAAGCATGTGCACACAAAGCAATGCTAAGAGCTGTGCTTAAGCAGAGATGTTGAAATCACTACCTGTGACAAAAAGCCTGTCCTGTACTTAGAGGCAGCAGCTCAGTTAGGAAAAAAAAAAATAATAAATATGAGAAGTACAGACACAAAAGGAAAGGTTAAAAAGGGGCTCCACTGTTTGAAGCCAGTTAAGTACCCTTTCCATTTCAGTTATAGCCCATCCTCACAGAGACAGAGATTCTTGCAGCACTTAACAAACTTCTGGTAAACATCCTCTGGCATCCTGTAGCACGTGTGCCACTTGCCAGG